CGACTTGCAAAGAAGCAGCGCCTTTCTTTCTCTGCGGAATTATTGAAGGACGACCTCACTATCGACATCGCAGGAAATATCCTAGATCTAACGACTACTACTGCAGAGCAGGCAAGTACTGACGCCCAAAATCAACGGCGTTTGGGATCTCCATCTACAATGCTATCCGAACAAGAAAAACGCACTTGGTTGTATCTTCGCAGCTGGTGGCTCCAAGAAGGCAGGCCGCCGGAGAGACGAATTAGAGAACAAGCCGCAAAGCAGTTCCATCATTGTAACGAGCAGGAACTGGGAAGAGCTACCGAGACCTTAACACGCGAAGCAGCTTTTCGATACCGCTACAAGAGAGGACAACGACGGAAGGCAGCCGGGTCGTTTTGTGGCCTGGACTTGCATTCGGCGCCCATGGCAGATGCCTGGTTTTGGACCAAATCTCGCCGCACACCAATCGCGACTATGGCTTGGGCAAAAGTCACCGGGCCAGAACGTTGCGCCCTAGTGCTTGGACCTGAGTACCGACCAAGACAACAAGCTGGCAAGACAGTTGCCAGAACCTATGTCGAGAAGAAACGTGGGCGCAAAGCCAAGCACGACGCTGCCACCGAACCAGTAACAAACGATCTCGCGGGTTTTGAACAAGAAGGAACCGAGAATGACAGAAAAGTCCTCCAATCACTCAAGAATGTACCGAAGTGCCTAGATCTAGACGCAAGCTCCGACTCCGACTCCTTCTTTGAAATGACCTCCGACGAAGAAGAACATCCAACAACTTCAGAGCACTCTCCTCGAGGAATTATTGCGGCGCTCGACGATATACCCTCAGGCTGCGTTTCAGCGCATCCAACTGGCTTAGACACAGTGAGAGCACTGGTCTTCTCTCGACGATGTGGGGTCATGACGTTGTGCAACGTTTCAGATGCAGGAGAAGAAAGCCTGAACGTCATCGCTGTAATAGGCGCGGCAAGGCTAGGCATTGACCTTTTCTCTACCAGTTCCGGTAGTGCTACCTCGATCGCGCTAATGGAGCACAGACACTGCATAGCGCGAGAATTTATGGAGGAAATTGGTGAGGATCCTGTCTTTGCATGCCTGCCACTGCAAGAGCAAATCAGTCCAGTCTATGACTTCGTGTCATCGTCGCCCATGATAGGATCGGAATACCTATGAGGAGACACCGCTCCAGTACAGCGAGGCTGCATGGGAGTCAACGTCAGTCCCCTCGATCCTGGCGTCTGCTTCGACAAAAACATGCTAGCGCAAGCAACGGCAGTCCTGCCGGGTCATGTCTACCTCTTCCAGGGAGAACGTGCTTTGCGTTGCGCCGCAAAATACTGCGGCTACATGCTGGACCGCCTTAAAGCCAGCACTCTCATCCGCACTGAAATGACCGACCCAGAGCACGAGGTAGGAGATCGTGTTGAAATCATTGGAAAGCAAAACTCTTGGGAGCCGGCGACTATCCGCGGATTGGGTGAAGGGCTTTCCTTTTCAAAAATCGCGTCCTGGTTTCAACGACTACAGGCGGTGCAGTGAAAACGAAACAAGCAAACCTGATCAGACGAAAAAGAGACGACTGCTCCCTGATCGATCTTCCAGAGGTGGCACATGCTACAGCACACAACGTGACCCAAATAGCCAGAGGAAACAGAGCACCACTAACGGTCCCGGAATTGCACCATAAGAGGGCTCAAATTTATTGCGCCGATCAGCGCCGGAGGCGGAGAGACTGCGTGCGGAAAATGCAACAAGTTCCGACTGCTGTCTGAAAAAGCGGCCAAAGAAAGCCAACATCTTCACTTTGGCGGTCGGGCATCGCCAGCCTTCAGATGCCACATGGCCGGTGTCTCCTGTGAGGAGATCTGCGACCTCCAAGGAAGAGGATATGGATTGACTATTCCAGCAAGAGAATGGAGCTCCACTACCATTCCACAGAAGCTCTTAAATCCACCACGTCAAGTCCTCGAAGGAATCCAATCCACATCGTTCGCGATGGACTTCCTCTAGGAACCAAAGGGCCGCTCATGAACTTGCTGCGCGCCAAGCTGTCTGGGAACACGTTGCAGATACTTAAAACTAACTCCGCGCGTTGCAGTCTTCGCCTGCAGCATGGAAGTAGTCAAACAACGAGGTCGCATCCTCAAGCCGAGGGCGAAAAGGCGGGCGCGCGAATAGTGGCGCTAAGTAATGGGCGAGTCAGTACATGACAGCGGGAAAATACTAGAAGCAGTCCAGGTAGATAGACTGCAGCGAAGACTAGTCAGAAAGTTCTCTCGTGCAGCTAATTTCTTAGAAATTCTTCGCTTCAAGAGTACACAAGCTAGAAGGCACCTGCTGGCAATCTCTTAGTGACTTCATTGCGTCCTGGCAGAGCTCAGCCTACCCCTCGCTACATGCCGATACCGAAGCGGTCAACTTAAACCGCGCGACAGTGGAGAACAGCCACCAAGAAGGAACCTCAGTCAAGTTCTCGGACGTATACCATTGCGACTGCACTCGCAGGGACTCCCTAGTAGAGAGACGCGTTTTCAATTCGTGTCGCAGAAGACGAACAGCAAGTAATTGACCACCTCAAGTTTAGTGATCTACCACTTGCAGACAGAATCATCGACAGTAGATAAGCCATTGCCGTTCATGAAAAAGAATTTCTGCAAATCTCGCGCGCGCTCGTAGCTCCAGAATTCCACAACTTGCCCAAGGAGATAATCTTCCAGAAAACGTTCCGCACTGTTAGACATTCTCCGGCTATCCACGACGGCTGTAGCAAGTGCATTCTCTTTCGGGGGGAAGGGATAGCCCCCACCAATGACAACGAGAAGCGAAGAAAGTGCTGCCAGCTATGGCCAGCCTCTTGGAAGGATTCAGAGCTGGGAAGTTTTTGAGGTGAGGGAGCTACAAGAAAAGCGGGAAAGCGACGCAATTCTGGTGCTTCGATTTAGGCCGGTTCTGGGTGTATCGTTGGAACGTCAACAAGAGGGAGCCGCACTGCTATCACGTCTTCCACCAGATGTCCGCAAACGCTTCGAGTCATGCGAAAAAGTCACAGATGTGGAGGAATGTTTTCTCGTTAGGTGCGGTCTACAGGTGGCGACGGAAGCAGCACTGAGGAAAGAACTAGAAGGCATCTTCAAAACGACCCAAGAACAGGCAAGACAGTAGCAAAAATTCTAGAGGAAGACGACGAATTCGGCACAAGGCTTGCGGAACTGCGTACAGGGGCAATCTGGGACCTACAAAGAGGCTCCACTAATCTGCTCAAAGTAAAGTGCAGAATTGTGTGCGACGGTTCGTCGGTCAAGTTATCCCCGGCGACGGATACTAGCTCGCCGGTGGTTTCCCGAGGGGGTCTGAGGCTCGCGACTAGTGCAGCGGGTATCTTCGACGAACCAGTGACGATCCTGGTAGATGCCCCAAGAGCGTTTAACCAGAGTGATGAGCATGCGCCTTCTGCTCGCAGGCGTTTTAAGTTTCCAATGAGTCCCAGATCTGATTTCACCTACAACGTGGCAGCCGAGTTCCAGTGTTACCCATCGTCTACGGGTCTCTTTTGGCTGGCGCACTACGGAGATAGCTGTGGGCCCCTTGGATTTTTCAGGACTGTGGAAGCAGAAGCCAAGGCTCGCGGCTACACTTCGTCACCCCTTGCCCCGGCGCTCTTTGTACTCAGAGGAGGGACGGAAAAGGCAAGCGCGCACATTGCTAGCTGTCATACGGACGGCATGGAGGATCTTCGGCAGTCAGTCGATCTGTGGCGGTCCGAGCAAATGGGTGACAAAAAGGGAAAGCAGCCCACGCACAAGGTGGAGCCAATTATCCCAACAAAAGGGCAGCCTCCCGCGATTCTTCCAACCACTGTAGACGACTCTGTGACCATAGTGGAGAGAAAGCACGCAGGGGCGGCCGCAGGTTCTCTTTTGAGGCGGTTCAACATCAAGGAGCTCGCAGTAGGCCAAGGCATCTATGCTGGGAAGAAAATCACACAGAAGCCACTGGAAGGATGCTGCGAGTTCTCTGTAGAGCACAAGTTTGCAGAGGGGCTGAGGCAACTAAAGGTGGAAGGGACCAAACCCCAAGAGCTCTTAACGCCCGCGCAGATCACAGATATCGCGGGGGTATGAGGAGAGCTAGGCTTTGCGGTCAACGCAGGGAGGCCAGACTTAGTGTATGACTTCCGCGAAATGAGCCAGGGAACACTAGTTGGAGCCAAGCAGGATCGTTTGCAGTTTGTCAAAAACGTAGTGGACAGGGTCCGAACGCAAAAATCAGTGGTGCTGCGTGTCTTCTATAACGCCGAAAGTTGGGCAATTGCAGCCATCGCCGACGCTTCCTTCCAGGGCGCGGTAGGGCCCAGGACAGTAACTGACTCGATGATCTGCGCGGAAATGCAAGACGTTACTCAAGAAGAAGGCCTGGCGGACGAGGAGAAGGAGAGCAAACTCATTGACCTCATCGCTTTCAGAGAACAGAAGCTGACGCCGCTGATAGCGTGTCTGGTGATGCTAGTCGACGTGGATAACCCAACGGAACACGGCTACCCGGCTACCCTCATTGACTGGGGTTTTCACCAGTCTGCCGCAAAGTGTGCCGCTAGCTATGGGGCCGAAGCAGAGAGTGCAGGACAGCGCGTTCCTCTGTCTAGGCGTCTTCAGGTGAGAAGTGTGCGCGCACTTAGGTATCCATAAGCGGCTCTGTTGGGGCTCTGATAGCGACGGGCTGACCAAGCGGATAAATCGTGGAGCTTCCATTGATGCAGCTAGGGACTTAAAGAAAATCTGCGCGATCAAGCAGGACAGGGAGCGGGAGGACCTAGGCATTGGCTTCATAACGGACGTAGCTAATCCTTGCGATGTGGCAACCGCGAAGATTGCTAAGGACTCTGAAGAGCGTCAGTCTCTGACTAAGATCATGCAGGAAGGCCACTGGCAGACCGTGTTTAAAGGAGACAAGAAGAGCAAGGCGGCAGGTGGTGCCAAGTTCTATTGGCGAGAATATAGCTGGGAGAAGGACAACTGACTTGCCTGCGCCTTCCGCAGGTTGGTGGGCTTTTCAGAGGTCTCGCTCCGGGCTGTATCCCACCGAAGACAGAGTGCAAGTGGAGTAAGCGAAAGGGGGAAATAAAAGAAGAAGAACCGACAGAAAATCTTCAACACTTCGAGTCATAGTAGTTCAGTAAAACCCTACTCAACTAGAGAACAAGGAGCACGATTGCCACTAATAGCATTTGCAAAATTGGGCTTGAACGTTTGAGCAGCTCCCATAAGTTAAGCATAAGCGTATTACTTTATGGCATTCTTTTTCTCTTATTGCCCTCGTGTAAAGATCAACTTTTCTGAACTAAAACGAACCCTAGTAGAGTGACTTCCTTCCTTTTTGCCTTATCAATTTTTAAAGTAAGCTTAACCCCAAGAGACAACTTAAGCCATTGTAGTAAGTAAGACGAGTTATATCCTCACTCGGTCCTATACTTCGACACTTCCTCCTCCCCGGGGTATTGATAGTTTGGCAACATAGATTCTAACTGAAGTAAGGATCTGAGTGAGAAACTACAACACCTTGGAGAATCATAATCGACCGGGAGGAAGAGCGTCCAAGTCTGAAATAGAATCGTAAAGAACTGTGGAAGATCCTGATCGAGAAGGTGGCCGAAATCTTGACGAGAGTCGAAGAACGTTGGCAAACAAGTGTCGCCAATGATGAAGCAGTCAGACCCTTGGCGACATCATCCGAACAAGTCCCCCTTTGCACAAATAGGCTCTGACTTACAGCTCTCGGCTTTATTTGACCTTGTCACCTGAGTGCGACCGACTTAGCGGAGTTTTTCTCTCCTCTGTGGCCACCAGTGTTCCCAGTATCGCCCTCGAATTTTTTAACAGAATAAGAACCAACACTCTAGGCCCTCCATATTTGGGCCAAGGATAGAAATGACCGCGATCATTTCTGGGGTTTATGCTCCTGGTTCAAGTTGTTGGATCTTCAAGAGTGTGCAAGCTTTCAAAACTTGCGCTCGTATGAAAAACGGACTGGATGACGACCATCGGAAGCCACTGACTTGCCGCGCTTTCTTACTTTGTCTTGCTGCCGTTTGGCTCAGGACTTCGATCAGGATTTTGTTGGATTTGAATGGCGTGGCGATGCGTAACGCCCCTAGTGCGGAGTAGCGTCACAGATTGCCCCTTCCCCCGTTTTCCTTGCATTATATATTTTAGTCAAACGATATCGGTAGGTTTAGGCGTCGCAAGTGGTGGGCCCGCGTGGTAAATACTCGGGGTAGAGTTATAAACTTTCTTTTTTGCGTATCCCGCATAGTTTTCCATGTTTTAGATATAGCATAGAGCTGGCTAGATTTATTCGGGTAAGTTGTGCTTTTCTTAACACGAACCAGAATCCCGAAATTTGTAAGGCAGTGGGACCTCTCGGGTTTCAGCTGAAAAGATTTGCGGCCTGAATCTGCCACCGTTCTACGCCCGTGGCCGGCGATCACCGCGCCAAGCTCAGCGTGCGTCTTTGACTACGGTCCCGGAAGGAGAAACTTCCGGGGATGGGGACGGTACCAGGCGACGAAGGACTCGCCGCGCAGCCTGAGCCCCACAGGACCAGCGGAGGAGGATTCGCTTCACGCCCGGGCTTCTACAGCATGGCGACGGACAGCGACGACGAGGGTCACGGTGCTGCTCGTGGTCTGCTTCGACGCGAGTCAATGCGCGGCGGCGCGCGAGGCTCGTAATTGCGTGACGAAGGTGAGGGAATTGCTTGCGCAGCAGCGTCGTGGGATGCTTTGGCAAGAGGTGCAGGAAGTTGTCCTTGAGGTATCGCGGCAGCGGCGTCGCAGGTGTGGAAAGTGTGGAGTCGCAAACCACAAGCGGGCGGCGGGGTGTCGGTTCTGATTCACCAAGGAGATCCAAACATGCGAGCAGTCAAAAGCGTCGCCCTGACTGAGGGCGTGAGCGCGATCCAAGCCCAGAAGGCTGAGCATGTTGCGAGGAAGGTCGGCGTCAGGGGTGAAGAGTCTGCTGCGAGGAGCTGAACAAGCAAGCGGCGGTGGTTTGTCAACGAGTTCGAGCGCAGCTCCACCGGCCCCGCGAACAATAGCGACGCCCGGCACAGATGCAGCCTCTTCCTCTTCTTCTACCAAAACCACCAAGACGACGATCAAAGGCCAGGCTTTCGCTGTTATGAATGCAAGCAGAGCATTGGGGCACCTAGTCGGGCGGTCGGAAGTAGTTGGTGCGCGATGCTATCGCGTAACGGAAGCCAGCGGAGCAACCAGGGGCGGGCAGTCGTTTGTCGTGTTATGGGCGAAAGATCCTGCTGGTGACTTCAAAGGTTCCAGACAGCGCTTGAAGCTCGCGCTCACATCTTTGAGAAGTTCCCGGGAGTGGCGCGATCTCCGTCGGACGAAGTCCTGCCATTGCTTTTCCTGGGTTCCATCGGTTTCGCTGCTGCTGTTCCAACTTCTGGACCTGCAGCAGCGTCCCCTGGTGAGGCACATTCGGCGTCTCGTTATCAGGCGGCTGAGTTTCCACAGGTCCGGAACGATGCGGGCAAGCCAGTCTGCCACGCTTCGCTTCGGCTCGGCTGAAGGGTTTGATATGGAGCGACGTGCGGCAAAGATAAGAGGCGGCTGCAACTGGTTGGGAAAGCACCGGGGCGGACCGGGGAAGAACTTCCCACGCAGTTGGGACCAGAGTCAGCAGGAGACCGCACTTACAAGGCAATCCGGGAGGAATGCGTGGGAGGAGGCGACGAAGGAGGGGATGAGGCGTATGGGGCGGCGCTGGGGGAGCTTCTTCACCGTGGAGCAGCAGCGGCAGACTTGACTCCGGCGAAGGAGTCAGAGCTAGACGCTGCTCGCCTGCGTGTGGTGTACGCAGAACGAGAAGGCGGAGCTGGTTTCCAAGACTTGGCGACGCAGGTGCGGGAGCGGTTCGGCGTCTGGATCACTCGGCGAGCGGAGACCGGCAGGCGCGGTGTCAAACTTGACGATCCAGCTGGAGCAAAGGAATTCTTAGCTGCCTTCCGATCGAGTACTCGGCCCGGGTTCTGGCAAAGATGACTGCAGCGGTAAGGGCATACATGCTGCTGCCGTGATTACCGGCTTGGCGGTAGGGATTGCCTCGCGCGCCTTGAGTTTGATGGAGAGTGGGGGTTGATCGTGCCACCGGGTAAGCTGGTCGATGGTTTTCCAGGGGATGAGACCGTTGGGGAGCGCCTGCTTTTTCCTAGTAGTGATATTAGTGCGTGCGCTTTTCTCATATGGAAGGCGGCTCACCGCTCAACAGAAGGCGCAGCGCATGCCGGGGGGTGCGCAGCTTTCGCGGGGGTGCGGCGTAATCGATTTACTTGGAATTCGATGCGGAAAGACTGCCGCGACTTCGTGGCGCGGTGCCCTTGTTGCAACATCAACCGCATGGAGAAGGCCGCCGTCTCTAACTCTATGACTTCGGAAGCGTGGGGATGCGCTAGATTTCTACACGCGGCAACTTTTGACTATGCCGGTCCGTTCGCGGAGACGCGAAGGGGGAGCATGTAAGTTAGTACATCTTCACGGCGGTGGATGTTTTTTTAGCGGTCTGAGCTTTGTCTTCGCGACGAAGGACAAAACGGCGAAGGCGGCGGTCGAGTGCTTTCGCAAAATCTTCAAGCGGTATGGCCCTCCCCTGCGGTGTCGTGCGGGCAACGGTTTTGAGCACTTCCACGGTAAAGGATGCGGCGGCCTACGCACTTGGTTGCGGAGAGAGTGCCTTTCGGTGAACTTTCCGCCGGGGACGTCGTACCACCCCCAAGGGCAGAACGCGGCGGAGTGTATTCGCAAGTACTGCGCTGAGCATTTCAGAGCGGGCCCCGCTGGTCCGCTTCCACTAGCAGGCTGGGGCGAAAGAGCTGGAGACTTGGGGCTGGCGCTCAACAGGATGCCCAACGAGTTACGCGGGGGCAAGGCGCTCGGGTTGGATGCTCGGGGCAGCCTTTTCGTGGAGTTATGGCCGCAGGTTTTGGAGCGCGGCTGAGGTGTGCTGCCGCATTCGGTCGGGGACGCATTAGATCGCCTGGAGCGAGGTCGGCGTGAGTTGGGTGGCCTGCAGCTGGGAGACGAGACAAAGCCGAGGCTGCTGAACGAAGCTGCAAGAGGCTCATCGCACAACATGGGTCACGTTTTTTCGGTTTCACGGTCGGCGATTTGGTGCAGGTGGGACCGCTTTTCGTCGAGAAGCGTCCAAAGCAAGAGCTGCGTGGGGTTTTCGGAAGACCGCGGCCAGTGTACGTGGTTGCCAGCTTGCTTGATCGGGCCGCGTATCTCGAGGACCGCATGGGAAGCGATAGCTAGGATCCCGATCGCGAACCCTGTTAGCTTGGGCCGGTTGGCAGTGCTTGGACATGTTCGCGACTTCGCTCGCCCGGACTTTCCTTTCGCGTCATCCATGGGGTGAGGCTGGTGCAGAGAAGTGTGCACTAACTGGGCGGGATTCGGCAACGGTGCAGTTTGCCGATGAGGAGCCGCGGGGCGTTCGCTTTCGGCAGTTCTTTTTGGACGGCATGGCGATCCCGACGCGGGTCGCAGAGTGAGGATGCCAGTCAGCGGGTGCAGCTATCGCGCCTTTGCTGTGCTCGTTGTTCAAGATGCTGCACTGTTCGAGCGCAGAGCGGGGAGGCATTTGGGTAAATTTTCTGTCGCTCTTTGCTCGCCCAAGGCAGGGCTTTGGGGTGGGTTGGCTTATTTTGGAAGCGCAGCGGAGAAGAAGTTGCAGCCTCTGGAGAAGGAGATGCTTAGCGCGGAACGGTTGTAGAGCTGTGCTCTAGCCTGGGGCTTGAAGGTGGTGAAGGTCGAGCCGGGGGGCAGGCCCTTCCCATGAGTTTGCAGAAAAATGGATAAGGAGGGTAGACATTTTGGAATTCTTAGAACAGGCGCACAGTCTGCCTGTGTTGGTTATTTGGGTAAATTTCCAACACTAAGATCCTCAGCAAGGACGACCTTGAAACCTTCAACACCTCAGCAGGAGGCCGCGCAAGATCCTTAGAAATGTCCAGTCCGCCAGTTAAAAGACCCCGAGCTTAATCAATGGTCACCAGGACGGAGCTCCATAGATCAGCATAAGCGAGGGATCTTCTGGGGCGGCTGTTCCGCTCTAGGTTCTTCGCGCGAGTAAATAAGTAGGCTAGGCAGAGCCTTTTGGTCAAGGATAGAGATGACCGTTGCCATTTCTAGGGTTTATGCTCCTGGTTCAAGTTGTTGGGTCTTCAAGAGAATGCAAGTCCTCAAGACTTGCGTTCGTATGAAAAACGGGCTCGATTATGACCATCGAAAGCCCCGCACTTTTCGTGCTTTCTTGCTTTGTCTTGCTGCCGTTTGGCTCAAGACTTCGATCAGGATTTTTTGGATTTCAGTGGCGTGGTGATGTGTAAAGCTCCTAGTGCGGAGGAGCATCGCTGATTGTTCCTTCCCCCGTTTTCCCTGTATTATAAATATATTTTAATCAAACGATTACGATATCGGTATGTCTCGCAGGCGCCGAAAGCTCCTGCTCCAACATTGTGGATCAAAGTGGAGGAGAGACGTGCCGCAACAACCTCGACAAGCTTGCGCGCGCGGGGCTGAAGGTCAAAGGAGGCACGGAAAACAGAGAGAGCATACTCCAGCCGCTGTGGCAGGATATGAGTGAGGGAAGTGGAGGACGTAACGCCGAGGCCCTTCTTGAAATCGCCAATCACGCCACATCCACTTACGGCAGTGCAGCAGGCAAAACGCGTCAAACTATGCTGCGTCACGAAGACCAGGACAACGCGGCTGATAGTTCCAGTTTCCTGCAGTCCCATGTCGCCAAAGTGCGTGGCTTGTTGCAGCAGAACGGTTTTGCAGTCGTAGCCGAGGTCACGCTAGTAGCTTTTCTGGTGTTCGTTGTCGGCTACGCGATCCGCAAGTACGCACGCCAGCTGGTTTCTCGCGCAGAGAAGAAGGAGGAATTGCGGAAGAACAATGAGGTTTCCTACGGTACGATGGGCAAGAAGAAGAAATCAGCAGAAGAAGCAGACCAGCAAAGTGGTGTTGCGAAAAGCGGAACGGCAAAGGGTGTAGCATCGAAAGGCGCACTTTCTGACACAACAACGCACGAGGCATCTGAGTCGGAGATCGCTGCATCGCAGGAGGGCGACAGCGGTTTTTCGTACCACTTTTTCTCTAGTTGAATGAAAACGATGAAAAATTGATGAACATGAAGAATACTTCTAAGACGTTGAATGATCAATGTATTGTGTGATCACCGAGGATTTTCATCGTGACGTTGTATTTCCGTCTGATCGTCTTCACAGGAGCGACTAGAGAACGAATTTGAAAAGGATGTAGAGCCACTGGGTGAGTGGCTCGGTAGGAGGACGGGAAGGTGCGGAGGGAAAAAAGGTTTGATTCCTTTTTTGATCTTATACTATGGGGAAAGAAGAGGACAAATATCTTCAATGATTTTTTTTGAACACACCATCCATGAAACGAACGAAAATTCTGCTATCAATCTATTTTTTTTGTGTCACTCATTGACGCGCTAGGCGTGGCTAGTGGAGGACGAATTCGGGCGGAATTCGTATGGAAGAGGGATAAGCAAGTGGCTTAGCAGGAGGATGGGAAAATGCGATGGCGTCAGGGAAAATGGTTCTTTGTCAAGGAATACAAATCTGGTTTTCATGAAGGAATGATGCAAATATATTGATTCATTGAGTAAATTGTGGTCATAGTTACTGTATGAAAATTAGAGGTTCTATCATGATCTTCCGCCTCCCTTACGCTAACATCGGCTCACTAGGTTCGGCTAGGTAGGAAGAAATTTGCAGAGGATGTGTGGGGATTATTGAGAAAAAAGCAAGTGGCTTAATAGGAGGATGCAAAAGTGCGGTTGCCTAGTGGGAAAAGGTTCAATTCTAAAATGACTTGATCTCTTGGTTTTCACTGGGTGACGAGTAGTGGAAGTAAGCTCAGTAGTAACGCTACAAAACACCAAGATGTAACAAGAACATCATTGTCTCTCCACAATGCATGAGATTTGAATTTTGGTTACCACTTGGTCCTAGTCTTGATGGCATATAATCTTCCCACCTAACAGCACATTACCTCAGCAGGTGGGGCTGGCGGGGAAGGTATTTGAATGGACTTTGCGGACATGATCGGGAGAAGCGAGATGGGCTGGTGGGAAGGTGGGACCTTTTTTTTCAGCGGAGGAGAAGTTTCGCTTGGAGAAAAGGTTTCGATTTTTTGATGCGGATGATGCATGGTATCTCCTCACCTTCCTTGTGATCACACTGATTCATTTGTGAGATTCGTTTTTCATGCAGATGACCGAGCAGAACTTCTAATGCATCCTTCGAAATCAATATGCGAAACGAAGATTCGTAGCTGATCGCTGAGATCCATTTGCTGAATCAGAGGTTACTTCAGGACTGGAATAAAGCCGGAGTATCCATGCCCACTTTTCCAGGTATTTATGTAAGTATGCAATATGAGGTGCAGAGGACACCATTTTTCCAGAGGGTATTTCTGATTGCAGTACGAAGTGCAGAGGACAGTACACGAACAACGATGACATTCTAGGTGATTCTTCACTTTGGGGGAGTGTTGCAACAGCTGGTTTGTCGAAAGAGGCGGTCGAGGGGCTGAGATGTACCTTCGAGCATGCTGTATGGATTATGGGAATGAGGCACTGCCAGTGGTGATTTTTTTTACCTTACGCAATCAAAAGCAGTATGAATGATGTGGTAGGAGCAAGATTACAACAGAATGATGTTTTTCGTTATTGACTATGTTTATGGGAGTGGAATGATATCTAGATGTACAGAGGAATTCGTGACCGAGCCAGGATATTCAATGAACATTTTTTGAGTCAATCACTTGAATTTGCTGTCTGAAAAAAACAAAGGGACACAAAAACTTCGTCCATATTTACTTCAACGAAAAGATCTACCAGTGACATTAATGATGAGATCGTTTGTTTCTTGCCTTCATTTTCTTGATTATGTTGTTCTTGGTTCTGTGATTTAACAGATCGTTTCGCGTCGCAAATGCAGTAGAGATTTTTACTGTTTACAACTTGAATGACTTCCTTCGAATTAGCGAAAACTTCTGAAATATGTTTCATCAGTGAAAGTTTCTTTTTCTTTGTCAGCCAAAAACAAACCCAGTTAATGCTATGAATGTTTTAACATCTCCTTGTCGACCTCGTTGATGTTGGTGTATGTTGACTATCGAAATATAATGAGAAAGATTTTTCATACATAGAAGAACAGTCAAATCTACAACTTTCAAAAACAATTAGATATTACATTGAAATTTTTTCAATAGCAAGAAACTCAGCTTCGTTGTCCATGATGATTTTATTATGATGTTTCTTTTATGTCGCCTCACGTTCCAAGAACGGAGGTGGCAAGTAGCAAACAAGCCTACAGACGCCTCTGGGCGGCATGGAAGCACGATGGATCGTGACCTCTTCAATTCCTTGAAAATACTCTGTGGCTCTTTGTGGCACAATCTACAGCTGCATTTTCCACTGGGGTTGCCATTCGGGATAATGCTATGCGTCCTATTTTTCCGAATCATTATTCTGTTGCGTGTTTTCTTCAAGTGGAAGCGTGGGAGTCAAGCTGATGCCTCAACGAAGTATGAAGAGTTGAGAAGCGAAGATCACTGGAAAAACACGATACAAAACTAGCCTGTCGTTTGGTCACGAGGCAGGCTCTCAGATGAGGTTATTAGAGCGTATAATCTCGCTCGAGAGAGGCGAGAGAGCACCTTATACCGAGCTATCTGGAGTAAAAGAAAAGATGCCTCGATGGCTCTAACTGAAACATGTTGAGTGGATATGAAGTCACGCCTTATCTTAATTGTGAGGAATGCACTCGATCCGTAGGAGCGGCTTTGGACAAGGGACAGCCATAGAAGTGAAGTATTTTCGTTTCAGTGTCTGTAGCCTCTAGGCTTTGTGTGCGTCTTTGAGACCTGGCGAAGGTGATGGTGATATTTTATTCAGTAATTTTCTAGAGATAAACAACAGCAATTATGAATCAATTATAACTTCTTGATCAAAAGCCGGAGCCTCATCGCTCACCATCAGGAACAACAGGAACAGCCGATAAACAACTAACAAGCCAACAACCGGCTAGATTAGCGGGTAGAACTCGTCTGGGAAATCTTAGGCAGCTCGCCGAATAGATTCGAATCATCATAACTTCTTGATCATCGTCAGCGATCTACTAATGTCGAGAAAGATGCGTGTCCTGTCATCTGTTCATGCTGTGACGTATCGGATGTTCGGAGCTCGAACACGACTCTTGCAGAACGATGTAAACAAGCAGTGTGACGTCGACAGTGGAACACAATGAAAATGCGACTTTCGTTGACTGCAACGTGACATACGAAGTTTTCCTACCTTCGACAATTTCGTTGAAGTATGGATCATGACGCGTGCTTTTCTGGCACCGACGGTCGTCTTCAGCAGTGCTAAAGATTTCGCAACATAGATCACGGCTGCGTCGCTTACGGTACCTGGAATTGCTGTAGTGCCTTCTCGATCACTTTTCGCGAGGCAAAACAAGTGCACTGTATGAAGACAGAGGAGCGTGCGAAGTGAGGATGCTCGGTGGGTAAGGAGTGCTTTCGCTGATCAGGTTTTCATGGTTCTCAGTTTCATACGTTTTTTGCAGATGCAGCGGCCACGACGAGCGCCCAGGTAAGGGCGTTGAGAGGTGTTAATGTTCGCAATCTTAAAAAGCAGGCGCGCGGACCGTAGTATCTTGCATACTGAAAAACACTGTGTCCACTCTTCCAGCTGCCGACAGCGTCTCTAGGCTACGAGGACGAAACCGGAAACGTGCATCGAATTTCGTCGCTGCACAAAAGTTGTAGTTGTATTACAACTCAACACTAGAAGGAAGAACACGAAAATGCCGCCGAAACGTAAGATGAAGGCGGCTCCTGCGCCAGAGCCGGAGGCGCCGAAGATTCATCCTGAGGTACAGAAAGTCCTGGACTTCGAAGCACTACTAGAGGCGGAAGAGCAACAGCAGACCGCCGCTCGACTCGCGAAGGACAATTATGGGTAGTAATTATCTCATTATCCCGCGTGACGGATCCTCATCCTCTTCCTCAATTGCAAAGTCTTCTTTTTGAAATGTTTAAGGGGAAAGGAGGGGAAAAATGCAAGGCACTGGCGCTGGCATCTTGCAATAGCTCTAGTGCAGCTAGTACTCATTCGAGTAGAGAACGAAAATTTACCTCTAAAACAAGATCATGCAGCGCTGTTTCGAAGCTTTCGGCCATAATCTCTGCGGTCCAGATCCGATTTTCAATGCGAGCTCACTCGCACTTTACGTTGAGGTACTTATTTCGATAGCAAATCTACTCACAATTTATTAATTTCTGACTCTCTCAACATTAGCGAGGTGCCCGTTCCCTCTGTTCTGCTTCTGTCGTTGTTGCGGAGCACCTCTGAGCCCTTCTTGTTGCCATGGAGTTGTTTATTGGAGAAATTCGTCGCAACCGAGTCCAGTAACATGTTCCTACTTTTCGTGCTGATCAGAATCTCAATTTTCAGGTTTGGCTGATTGCGCGGGAGCTTGGGCATGACGTGGACGAGAATCCCGAAGTCATTTTCGACATCCCAAATCAGTTGGAGCAGATGCATGCGGAACGCGACAACCCCCTCTACATATTAAGGCTTTTTAGAAGATGATTCATTCAGGACTAGCTACGTTACATGTGGAGGCTCTTTAGATGATCCCGGACTTGTAAGGATTTCATATATCTACTCTGCATCTTAGTGCTCTTCAACAGATGATTCGTAAGTACGGAATAGGATCTACCTCATCTGCGTACGCTGGACCATTTAGGATTCCATTTACCTACAGGATCTCTTTTCAAGTTCAAGGTTCTAGTGGCTGTGGTTCCGCTCTAAGATTTGCACCCAAGAACGAGGACAGCAAGCTGGGAATAGTCACGCGAGTCCATATGGCGCTTCGCGGTGTGGCAAAAACTATGACGGGACAGTGCTAATAATCGTTTTTCTAAAGGGCCCCATTTGGAACCTATCCACTGCACGTTTCCTTATTGATTGAGAACTTTTTACATTGCAATTCTACCAACGATGAACTGTGTCTTATGATCCTCGTTTCGTGTTTGTTTAGCAGTTATTGAATAAAATCTTTTCGGGCTCACGAACACGTTGTTGATGATGAAGATTACTAGTTTTGCTCTAATATGCGACTGGAGAAGCAGCACCTTTGGGGGACGTTTACGGATCTTTTGCGCATGACGCACCGCCGTGACGCCGAGCTCTACCGTATTGTGTATTTTGACCTGCTCAAGGACTTCGTGGATGACATTGTTGACGAGGACGATGAGGAGAAGCGCAAATACCTCTACATGGCTTGTTCGCCCTATCCTCAGGATCACCGCTGCCCCTACGCGATCCGCGCGGTGCTCGCGGAGGACGGGTGGTCCGAACTGACCGACTACTCTCTGAAAAGAAAGTACTACTCTATGTACAGAACTGAGCTGTCGTTGGATACAGAGGATGAGGAAAAGTCGAAGAACCTGTTCAAGCTTAGCGCCATGGCTTTCATCGACGTCTGCGTCCCTGAGAAATGGAATCATTTTCACTTCTTGTTGCCAGATGAACACTACCAGGCTCTAGCGGAGAAGCTCATGGCCGAGGAGGAACGGAAGCGCGGCTTCATCGATCTATCGCAGAAAAAGGCCAAGAATAAAAACGAAGAGAAGCGCATGGCCAAGGAAAAAGCAGAGAAAGAGGTACTGGATTCAACTAGGACTTTGAATTGTGCTGTCACTTGGTATCTCTATCTTCATATTGTTGCCTGATATAACTGTGCATATGCTGAATCGTAAATGATTGTGTTATTCATTCTACTCAATCATGTGCAGTATCGAGATGACAGAGCTGAAACTCTTTTTCTCGACCAGATGAAAGTGGCAACTTGTTGTAAAAGCCAGTGTTGCTTGTTAGCTTCGGTCTTGCTAGCTCGTGGCTTTCGTGTCTTGATAACTGCTGCATGCCTTTTTACCTGGCGTAACTATGTCTGACCACTGGCTGCTTCATTTTGTGATCGTCACTGTATCAACAGCAAATGGTGTCGATGTTTGATTCCAGTGACACCGATGAAGATGACTATTTCAAAGACGACGAGATGGATGCGGACTGTCGCAGAACCGACAAGGACCGCGAGCGTATGAACAACGAGGTTCTCTTGGATTAAGGCTCTCAATAAGGATTCACTTCCACAGAAGATTACACATTTTCATGTTTCTTTTTGTTGTCCTCTGTTGTTCATCTGATATGCGAATATATGGCGACCTTTACCACTTACTTATGTAGTTGGGAAATGGATTATGGTGGGCTCTAATCGGATCTTATGCGACAGGACGAGACGATCATGGAATCCGGTCTGTTGGGTCTCTCGCACCAAGAACTGCCATGTTATTATGCTACTAGGTAGCATGCCTATTATTCACTGTATCATGCAGGTCGATTTTGCCTTACAGCCCTTGTTCATGGTTGTGCAGCCTTGTGCAGTGGCTCTCAGAATTTGATGGTTTCCTATAGAAGATGATTGAGATATCCACTATGCATGTACAGGATATGGAAAAGCTCGCTAGAAAGGAGGTTTTTTTCGAAGATCCTGTAAAAGTTGGATGATTTGTGGTTTGCTCTTTATCGATTTCATATTTGCCACTCGTGGAAAGAATCGTTTGTTCAAAATGAATGCAATTGATAGCATTCGATTCTAAGTCATTGTTCTGTGGAATTTGGCACGTGCCCTGCGGATCACCATGGTGGGGCTGCAGCCTGGTGGATGCTTGACCGTTATCTGGGGTTCGACTCCTCTGCATGCTACGTTTTTCTGGTTGCGACACTCTTTGCAGCCATTCTTTGATGAGGTGAATATGTTGAGTTCGCCGTTCCCTTCTACTTAAGACCACGAAACACCCATCTGCAGCTGGAGCATCTATTGCCTGAAGAGAGGTGCCTGAAGGTACCTTGCTTCGGCAGCGAGATTGGCATTCTGTTGGCTGAACTAGTAGGTTCGGGAGTAAGCACCGCAGACACAAAAGAGGTAAAGGATGTTCAAACAGATGGGTCGGCACTAGTTTGTCTAACTCACCGAGTCGCTTCTAGTCTGCACTGGGTTTAACGCCACGGTCAGTAGTGTAGATGCATTCAACTACTTCTTATCGCGGCCGCAGCGAGGTCTCGGCGTCGACGATATACTCCTTTGGACGTTTGGAGGTGCTACTAATGATGTTCAAATTTTCATTACGCTCTGGTACGAAATTGATTCAACCTTTTAGAGATAAGTAACAAGGGTTGGCTTCGTCCAACTGCTACACGCAAAGGACATGACCATGCACACAAAAGCGCACACACACACACCCACATCTGCGCTCTGAGTAGCACGAGGATTTTGATCATTATCATTACCGTCATCTATTTCTCCATCGTCAACATCTTCATTGTATTCGACAGATGGCTACACGACTTTGGGGGAGATGTACGACAGAGACAAACGGGAGTTCGACGATCTACTCGCGGACTATTTGACGAAGGTGCTAAAGATGGAAAGATACACCATTGACGTCGAGAAGGAGAAGGTTCTGCAAGAAATAGAACGCATGAAAGAGGAAATGCGGGAAGCTGAGCGCCTGCGGTTGCTCGAAGAGGAGGGAGAAGAGGAAGGCGAGGACGCGGAGAGCAAGAAGAAGAGAAAAACTGGAGGGAGTACCTACACTTATTGATTTACTTATATATAATTCTTTAGTGCACAGCGAAGTACAACCACTAGAGAGTATCCACAGACTCTTTAGGAACGGCCATTGGTTTTTTGTAGCATTATTCACAATCCTATCATCTAGAATGTTCTTGCTCATTGTTTTACTTGGGTACTGCATATTAAGAACAACAACTATATTTTTTTCACGATTTCGGAAAGGTCCCCGTCGAAAACGCGGCAAGAATGGTGAGCAAGACGACGAGAAGGAGGGTGAAGACGGCAAGGACGGAAAGAGCAAGAAGAAGGGCAATAAGAGCAAGGTGGGACGTAGTGACAGCGTGAAGATAAAACGCGGTGGCAAGCAGGAGGGCTTCGCGACGGGTGACGCTAGTCGAGAGCTTCAGGAAGGAAACAGACTTATGAATAAGGTAAAGATCAAGATAGCTGAACCTAGTATGGAGATCGGTTGGAGAAAATTCCAATAAAAAAGTGAGCAATGAGATAAGTGGGTTAGATATCCATGTCTTTGATTCTGTTCATGTCTTGCCAACGGGTGCGACGAACAATCGTGATGGCATCAGGGTTGAAAGGATCGCAGCTGGAGCGTCTCGTGCGTTTCCGGAATCGCGAGCCCGATGATGATGCGCCACCGGAGGTGCTGCATATAGTTTCCAACGCACTCGACGATGCCAGCCCGTGGAACAACCGCGTCACCGCCGTCGGCAATATCAGCGCAGATCCCACCAGCACTTTGCCGCGAGTTAGCCGTGAGTTTATTGACAACATTTCTACGGCAGTTTTAGCCACGATGAAACCAGCCGGACTGCAGCCCATGCGGCCCACAGAGTTCAACCCCTTCCGCAACAAGCTGCGGAAGTTGATAGGCAAACGGGAGGACGAAGCCAAGCAGAGCTTGGCGGCACAGCCCAAACGCAAGGCACTCGCACGTGGCGCGGATCCAGATTCTGAGGAAGAGGATGACGATTTCGGCGAACTACCGGACGACGAAGGTACAGCTGCGAGTCCCACAAAGAAAGGAAAGGACGCCGCATCACATCAAGATTATGAGACGACAAATTCGAAAATGATCATGAGGCGCTCGTATCATGCATCATTTTGTATCATTCTCATTTGTGGGGCTGACTTCGGTCTCAGCCATCATGTTTCATAATGAATGTGCGTTTTCGAGCAGGTCTTCAGGATAAGTATCAGGTTTTCTTCATGATTGTGAAACCCCTCGTCCTCTCTGCTTCATGGTGAGTCGGTGACCAAGCACGAAACTAGCATGATCCGCATGGTCAACAAGAAAGGTGGCCGAGCGCGCGAGAGCAGTCCAGGCGGAAGCCGGTATAGTCCTGGAGGCACGCGGACAAGCCCTGGAGGTGGCAAGTACGATGCTAGTAGTCCTGGTAGGCCAGGGTACAAGTTCAAGTCTGGCGGCAGCTCGCACGAGAGCGAATACGCTGAGTTTTATGCATCTACTGTTTCACTTCCTCTTCCTTGTGACAAATCAAGTTTTGTAATGGTGGTTGGTCCAACTGACCAAAGGAGCGTATTTACAAATATCAGGTCCAAGGAGAAGGTAAAGCGTACCGTCAACATTGCGGGATCGTAGGAACACACTCTAATTCACTCTGGCATCTCTGAAGGGCCCATCACATACTCGGTGGGAGCGGCCGTGGCGTGCCGGGGATGGCGGCAAGGTGAACCCGATACCGGCGGACCTTCAGAGCAAGCCTTCCGGCGCGTATCCAAGACCCGTGCATCTGTTAAGGCAAAAAGGGCTACTAACTTGTTGATACTCACGCTACTCTTATTCTTATCGTACGTGGTTAGTAAGATATATTAATAGGAGAGATTTTTCATAAGGAACTTCATGGTGCCACGTGGACATTGATATTTGTGTTCACGACTTGGATCATAAATCGCAGATACAATGTGTCCTAAGAAATCTCTCTGACGTACAAGTATGGCTCTAAATTTCGCGACTACTCTGGGTGTGTCCTCGCTGGACCATATCACCAACGCAGCATTGCGCGAGAAGTTCGAGGAGGAGGTAGAACCAGGTCTGGAATTCGAGAAGCGGGATTTGGTGGATCTCATTTCCGAGAACAACCTGCACATCCTACGCGACTCTGGAGACGTGAACATAAAGCAAATGTACAACATGTGGCGCGATCAGTACGACGAATGGCGCAAAAAGCGCGGCCTCGTGCCGAAAGACGATCAACCCGAGAAATGAGATCGTGCGTCGTTGATCTGTCTTCGCGCTATAGCGAAAGGTAAAGCGCTAGGACCGATGGAAGCCCTGCGACGGCTTGTGACCTGTCTAAATCTAATGTGCTAGCACTTCTCTATCACCTGTCTTAAATTCCATTTGTTGCCTTTGATTCTTGGGAGATTTATGATTGTACCTTTTTAGTTTGTCGAATGGATGCCATGCGGAGGACATGCATTCCTCTAAAGTTGACGTTGCTTGTGAACATTGTAGCAGAATCACTAAGTTCATGCCAGCAAGCACAGTTTCGGTTTCCTGTTCCGTTTCGCTATTCCATCTGATAGACGTAGTTGCAGCGCATGCCTTTTTGCGCCCTATCTGGGGAAAAAATCAGCTCATTACTTTGCGACTTTTTTCACGAGAACTAAACTTACATTTGTGCGGTCGCTACTCGTTGCTCCTTGATGCCTCGGTGCGTCGTATGCGTCGTTGGGCCGATCGAGATTGACGTTTTGACTATGGTGCCCATACTACGATCGAAATTAACTGAGGCCTCGCGCTAGTAGTTGCACGTTTGGCGTTTCGAGTTTCTCTAGAGTTTTGTGAGAAATTAAAGAGCAGTTGTAGACAATCGTTGCACAGTGCAGTGTCAGACAGAAAGAGAGACTTGATTGTTGCTTTTGCACACCGGAAAGAGTCTCGATTGACGTATTCAGTCTTTTTCGAATCATCGACTTAACATCGAAAGCGGAATCGATGACTTCAATATCGCGCATCCCCACGGACAGAAGTTCTCGTTCGGGGTGCTTGGCGCTGGTCCGATAAGCTTCTGCTTTGCCTGTTTGTCCGTTGTTCTCGACTGGTCACCTTGATCAAGAAGACGCGGCGACATGTCGTAGAAGAGCATGCAGTAATATTTTCAAGCACAATGATCTACGAGTAAAAAAGTTCGAAAAAGTCAAAACGAATCCTGTACTAGCATATTAGACAAGTTTGTCATGATAAGAATCTTGATTATAGGGCAGGTATAAAGATTGGACTTGGTATCTTCTAAGTTGATGTGCGTAGTGATAGCGTATATAAGAGTGTTATCAAAAGTTGCAAAACGAGAATGATTTCTATTATTTTTTCCTGTTGGTCAGGGAAGAAACAATCATTACATAATAGCAGAGAAGGATATCATACATGCCAGCAGACACGACGTAGATTACTGTGAAAGTGGCATATTGAAAAGGATACATAGGGTGTGCCGATGGCTCTCCTCATGCGCACAGGCACGGGTCGTGGCAGCGTGCATGCAGTACTAGAAACACAGACTGGAGTTACCAGTAAACGCGTAACTTTTTCTGGATAGAGCGGTTATAAACGCGAGTACACATTATTTTCAGCTGGGAGTACATCATCCTCTTCACCACCAGCATCGTCGTCACCGGTATAATCATCGAGCAGTCTAATAAGGTTTCAACTTCAACGCAACAAGACAACACAATGTCGGCATCAGGCGGCTCGAAGGACAAGGATGAGGAGGCTGGAAAGAAGGGCGTTCAGTTGTCGGATGAAGATATTCGGGAATTTAAGGAAATTTTCAATCTCGTCGATGCCGATGGTTCCGGAGCAATATCTACGGACGAGTTGGGCCAGCTTGTCGAAAGCGTGGGTACTCACTTATTTGAACTGTTCATATTGTCGGGATGAAAAGCCAAACTTGTTTTCTTTTCCATGATACAACTTCTATATAACGAATGTTTTTGATATGGAGGAAGGGGTTCTTTACGACTGACTTATCTCGACGAATATCTTGACGGATACGGATTGGAAGATACAAGGCAGCAGTACCCTGCTTCCTCATCGGGAAAATCATCCACACCAACACTTTCTCGTCATGTTTATGCCCAAATCAGGTATGAAATTGACGCATTCGGAGCTACAGGAGATGATCAATGAACTGGACAGCGATCAGTCAGGGGAGATTGAAATCGACGAGTTCATCGCTATCTTTTATGGAAGATGCAAGATATTCCTATTACATATTCTAGTCCATTCATTGGGGTCCATGATACTCCTGTCGATAAAGTCGTAGAAGACTAAGTACTTACACCAACCAGAATACACTGATAACTGAGCAACTGTTTTTGGTTTGATGGCCTTAAGAGTCTGTTACGCCACGACCTGGTATGGTGCATATCTCTAAACTTCATGCAAAGACCTGGAGCTGGACTACACCGCAGAGGAGATACAGAATTCCTTCAAAATGTTCTCACGAAATGCACCGAACGGGTATATTCTTCACTTTGAATTATAGCAAGTGTTTCTAGATTGCGATTCTTGAGATGGGTGTGGAAATATCGATAGATCCTTTCGTGTATGCCACCGAAAGCAAATACATTTTTCAACCTGACCCCTATCTTAAACAAAGTTTCAGGTTAATCAAGATGACAGATTTAGAGGAGGCGCTTAAGGTATATCTGCGAGGGGTGAACCAATCCGAAATCAATCAGCTGCTGAAACAGTTTGAGGTACTAAGGTTGGTAGACTTGGATTTACAAACTTGATAATAATCCTTTTACATTATGTTAGCATTTGCGTGTGGTATCAACAGTGGCTTGCAAACGAAAAGAAACTGCTTGCAATCGTAATCCTTCCGGCTCAAATTGCGATAAAATGCGTCTCAACTTACCTCAGGATTGCGTTGTTCACTTGTCCCACGTACTCGACGCAAACGGCATGCCTGTACCTTTCTTCCGGTATCAAGATTACATCAACCTGATGATGCGGCGGAAGTGATCCGAGCGACTCTGTCTGTCGCGACAAAAAAGATGCCTTCGAATGTGGCGCACAAAGACACATATTACACAATTGATCTTATAACATATGCGGTAGTTGACATAGTTGCTCACATAAGCTTCTCCTGACACGGAAGGGAAGATAGGTGTTCGGTCCCGGGCGCTGCAGGCAGACACCTTGCTCTCTGTCCCCAATAAACCCCGTCCTCAGCATGGTGCAACGTAACACCTAGTATCGATCCCTGAACTGCTTGTCCTAGCGCTCTAGATTGACGTTGGGCAATCATCCCCATTCCCCCTCACTCACATTACATCAAATGACGCAACATGATGATTCTGAATCCAGGTGAAACTCCTGCTCTGCATGAGTCGCAAAGCTGTAATAGTGACACTCAATTCGACGTCTCATGTCTCGATGAAGATGAAGAGATGCATCCTTTACTCTTCATGAGTAACATGCTTATTGTCAACCTGGTCTTTTTCAGAGTCAGGAGGTGATAAAAAAAGATCAAAGACAGATCCTCTGCAAGCAGTCGCAGTCGGAAACATGGTTTGGTCTTTTTAGAAAACAAGGAAACAACGGGAAAAGAGAGGTGGAGTGATCGAGTGATCTGAGTAAAAAGAGCAATGCTGAGTGAGATTGCGCTATGGATAGACAAAGTTGATTTAGAAGACCAATGGTGCCAAAAAATGGACGCACATTAGCTGAAAGGGAACTGCACTAATTATGAGGGAAGAGAGGATTTGTGAAGGATGAATCCACCCATGTTTCTGTTGCACAAAACGGCGCCAGAGCACAGGAGTCGCCACTGGATTACGCCACACTTTCGCCCGCAAGGGCTGACGCTGTGGTCATGATAGGCGAGTGGGAAGCACGCGTGGTGTCAAGCTCTGCCCACCGGCATCGGAGGAGGCAAGATGAGAGTGGAAAAGATACGCCAAAAACGAACCATGACGCGAAAAAGGTTCGCCTTCTAACGCTGTGGAGCATTTTTCGTCAATCGAGAAAAGCGGAAACTCACTCGAGGACCAGGGCTTTTATAGTGCTTTTGTACTACCTTGTCCTGAGCGCCACAGTGGTGCAAGCGGGAGGCAATACTGTCGGGCGTGCTTTTCTCCTGATCCAGTCCGACACGCAGAACAAGATTCTCTACACGACGCTCCCAAACTTTGATGAATCCGTTGCGAATTCGCAGGAAGAGGAGGTTCTCACCACGGCCGAGCCGCTGGTCGACGATCTCGATGTACTACCTATCCTTGATCTCCCAGGGTAAAGTAAAGTCTCCTGGCAGGCTGTTGTACTCGTTTTGAGTATTGCGAGTTTGCTCATAATTTCACTTCCTCTATTACTACTTGTTTTCTGAATGCCAGTACCAAGTTGCTTCGCACTTTTGTGAGAATCTATATTCAATCTATGCTGTTGATGTTGATTACAGAAACCTCGTGGCATGGCTCTCTGGTCTGACGGTATGGAGCACTGGTTGTACGTCTATGACGGAACCTCGCAGGATCTGGTCAAGTACCAATTGTCCATATCTGGCGATACCCTTGCTGCTGCCCGCGTTTCCGAACCAGTCGTGCAGGGATTGGACATTGGCGGTCTGGCGATAGACAATGCGAAAAACCTGTACTTTTTTACGCTTGTTCTAGTTCACTGATGCCTCTAGTTGTAATTGTATCTAGTAGGTGCTGGTTATGCTCGCAAGCAGTTATAGAGTCGAGGCCCGGCCCATCTGCCTCGGTTGAAAAAATAGCAAGCGCAGGTATTATATTGGCCCAACTGGAGGCTCTTTGACGAAAATTCCTTTCGACGATCGCACGGCAAAGGTGGAACTTTTTGCCAACAACTTCAACATCAACGCTGCGAAATCCCTAGTAACGGATGCTCTTTACGTCTTTTGGGCCAACGGCGCAACCGGGAAGGCAAGCGGCTCGGCCGTAAAAGCACCGACGAAGCTACTCCCCGCTACGCAGACAACGTAGATCCAAAAGATGTTCTATTTCCCAAACGTCTTGCATTACCAAGAACCACGTGCAGCTGTTAGTTTGCACTGCTAGGGCATAAAACTAGGGTGTTGCGCAAGTCAAAATCAATTATCATGATCCCTATTTGTCACAAGATCTGGTCTTTTCTAACAGCAGCAGTGATTCGAAGACAGCAATTGAAAACTACAGGTACCCCGTACAGCTTTCCAAGAATGCAGTTGTTAGTAATGGCATCTGTCTGGCGCAAGGCAACGTTTTTTGGACCAGCGAGGGAACGCTCTACGTGACGCGAAAGAACAATACGTCGCCCTTCGATGAGTCAAAAGTGGTACTTCCGCACTTTCCGCACTGTGAATATTCGATGTAGGAGATGAGTATTGTTGTTTCGAATAATGTTCTCTGACGACGTTTCACATGGTAATCCTCTTTTTACGCGCCCGCCTCAAACAGGGAATATGTCACTCGTGTCGGGACGGCTAATCGCTGTCTGGACAAATTTTTCGTCAACAATGTAAGGTGAATTCGGGTTTCGGGAATGCTCACGGATGTGCAGGAGATAGCGCACGTGGTGCAATTTATGTCGCAGACGAGACAGGCGGTGCGGTGTTCGAGCTGCCCGTTGTACGGCAGGAAAATTGCTACTTGATACTCATACAATGATCTTCTAAAACTTGAAGACTCAAGAATGATTACTAACTTACTAGGTCGTTGCATGATTCATTTTCCTCCTTATTAATTACGAATCAGCATGAAGATCATGTGAGTTTGGTGAATTACGAGCATTTTCGTTAAAGATGAATGGATGTGGTATTCATTAAGATTTCTCTGTCTCTGTTCTATTGCTCTAGTTTATTTGGCTTTCATAGAGCAACTTCGGTGACCTGAGGGAGATCCGGACACCAACGAAGCTTCTGGAGGTCGATAGCCCTACCCATTTAGCCGTGCTACGCAGCTCTGCATCAGCACGCCGTGGAACCTTGACAGTACTGTTTTTCAGCATGATTGCAGCGTGCTCGGTGTTGCTGGCGTAGGTTGCACGTTAGTTCGCGATTCTGCATGGGCAATATTGCGAGGGGACACGGGGCGGCTGGAATCATTAGGTGAGCACTCTGATGTTTCCCAAAATTAAGCAGGAGAGATGGAGATATGGAGCTGCAACTACGATTTCTCATTCTTTTCCAGTTTTTTTCAGACGTTTGTTTAACAAATTGTTTTTGTAGCGTAACATTAACGCTCTATCATGTGGGGAGTAATACTATAACCAGGTTTGCTGTTGTTGAGGCTCAACGACAAACTGGTCTATCCGCTTGAGTCGTAAGTCCTTCTACTTGTTAAAATCCCACGCTGTCGAGATGTTGTAAATGAATACTGATGTTGAATCGTGTACGGGGTGCTCACTTGATGTTCAAGTAAGGTACAAGCCGAACATAGATAGAAGTACATTGAATTGCTCCGCGTCCTTGTCTGATTGACAGGCCTTCCGCACCAGGAAGAGTAACCAATTGGCGTGAGGAAGATGAAATTGCCACATAGCGGGAGTACGAAGAGATCTATGGTGACGTTGTGTTTTGCGAAAATCCTCTAAAGTTCTAGACTGCAAAATGATAGAAGAAATCCCGAGAGCCTGAATGCTTCTCGCGGTTCTACAACTGGGTAGAACAGGCTACTACCGGTTTTTTGGAGTTCTGGAGAGGGGTAATTAAATGGAACTATAGCGGGAAATTGTAGACCCAGGTCCCAAAAAAAAAAACCCAAGATAGGTGGCCATGATTTATGAATGAGATACACGAGCACTAACGAAAGATGCAAGTGGACCTAACCTGAGATAGGATATAGAAACGTGAAATGGAGTTGAAATTTGAATAGGCTAACTATTGGTAACGCTAGGCGATTAGAGTCGTTGATTATTCTCACAAACTGGAGCTGCACGATCTTGTTGTAGAGGAAGTGCTTCGTGCTAAGGATCATTGATTGTTTGTGAAGGACAGAGTGGCACAACCGCACGCACGGAAGCCGTTGTTGTACTTCAGTAGAGTCTACGTGTTATTGTGGACCTTCGTTGAGAAAGAACATGTCGGCCATTTTGCAGATGCGTCCCGAGAACAAGGTCGACGAGTGTTTTCTCGTGGAGGTTCGGGGTACCTTCGAACTGACCCGGGAGCAGCTGGAGCTTCGAGGTGGCGATAACCGCCAGGGCTTGCAACTTGGGAAATTTCGGATCAAAGAGGGCAATAATGTTTACGTCTTTCGATTAGATGACAACAACTCCAACTCGTAGTTTTTCATGAATTTCCCCAGAGGATAGATGTGTTCACAGTCTTCCACGTAGCCGTTCTGAGCCCGATCCATGCATTGACTGAGATGTTGGCTGAGGATTGACATTTTAGAAGTAGGAAAGGACTCTAAGATGTTGAGTTAGAGATGGGAAGCAACATGCTCGTAGGGACCGTAGAAAAATTGAAGAAGCCACTGTTGATCGTCAAGAAAACCGGACAGAAGCGAAATTGTCTGCGACCTCCATTACGAATGCTGGCTTGACGTAGAAATTTCGAGGCTCGTTGGATGCACGACTGATCTCTCATTTTGTCCAGCGTAGACTTTGTTGGGCGGAGCTGTACAGGACTGCATTAACTATCCATCATCCGGGTTAAAACTTCAAGGTGTTTAGTTGGTCTCTTCGTCCTTTTGCTCGGAAAAGTCTGCGGCAATTCTTTTGCTTTGTTCTAATTCCTAAGAGCTCTAGGAGCGAACAGCAGTCCGGAAGCGCTGCCGTGGATGGAAAAGTCGCTCCAGCAAGGACGTCACAATTTGCTGCCACTGGATCTTTAGGTGCTCCTGGTTTTGGGGGAGGCTTCGGTGGAAGCAACACTGCATTCGGAGCTGGCTTTGGAGGGTTTGGCGAAAAAATGGAAGAAATTTTCTCCGGGGACACGCGAAGCGAGATACTCGAAGTCGAAGCAGTGATCCGGCGGAAAGCAATCTTCACGAAACGGCCTAGTATCTTCGTCCCTCCGGAACTCGTAGAGAAGCCTGTGGATATAAGCAAACGCAAAAAAAAATAGTTTAGTTTATTTTATTTTTCACGATTTGCCGCGCACAGTCAGTACTAGTCTCGGGTGATTGATGAAAGTCGATGGATCTTTCTTTTCCATGTGACAGCATGAGATGAAACTGTGGTGCTATGAATCTTCGTCATGTCTGGTTCTACTTGACTACTTTCCTGTCAATGATGCTGCATTCTGGAAGAAAAATCGAAATAATCTAGGAGACGTGCAGTAGGTGGAAATGCTGAAACTAGTTGTTCTCGAAATGCGCAGTCTCCTGCCGTACTTGTGCATGAATTCAGAGAATTGGAATGCTTCAATACAAATCTGAATCGATGAGTGGTACACCGAAGTAAGTACGAGACACATGATGCATGATTGACATCTGAGATGAACTCAGCGCGCACTCCATCTGGAGGGCTGGTGGCGATTTCATGAGTGCATATGAATGTCAGACAGTTCGAGAATTTGGAATTCCTAGAAGCCCGTGTTAATGAATGAAGGTTGAATGCAGCGTGGCGAATGATTCTGAATGCACAGCTTGACCTGAAGATTGAATGTGAAATCCAAGGAGATGAAGTGCTAACTCGCTTCCGCGAATGTGAAAAATCTCTCTGAATTTTGTACTAAAACGTGAAGCTGCAAATACAAATGCATGAAGTTGCAACTGTTCTTGCAACAGTACAACTATGAATATTCACTACGTACGAGGCACAGTAGCACTTGAATTTTGTTCGTGTCTTTCCGAGAATGCTTCTTTCTAATCGTGTCAAAAGTTTGTAATCACTAAGCTTTTAGGGTCGATTCTATCAAATAGTATGGTGTACATCTGCTTTTGCTACATAGCCGTTCGCTCGTGAAAGCTCATCTTGTTTTCACAGTACTAAGCAGGCACCGATTGATTGAATATGATTCAACGTTAATGAAATTTCGAGATCGATAGTAGATTTGATTTTCTTCAACAATTGTCGAGCGGACTTTCGGCTGTCTCTTGTCAGTTTGTTATTAAAAAGCTACATTTGAGTATTGTCCGAGGAGGAGACGAAAAATGTCGAATCGGTACGATAAGCAGACGACGACCTTCGATAAGGCCGGTCGTATTTTTCAAGTGGAGTATGCAATTGAAGCGACAAAGGCTGCTGGCCCTGCTCTGGGCGTCCTGGGTAGCGACTGCGTCCTGTTAGTCGGGGAAAAGAAGACGAGCTCCAAATTGTTGGACCAGACTAAGCAAGCAGAAAAGATATTCGAAATCGACGATCACGTCTGTTGTGCTGTGGCCGGCCTTACTTCTGATGCCAACACACTAATTGTTATGGCTATTTTGTTTTCTGATGGAGATAAAAAAGATACTCGTCTAACAAGCTAATGTTGATCATAATTCGTTTGGATCTTCCCAAAAACAGGTGCTCATATCAGCTTTCCTTTCGTTATCGTGTGCTTACCGTCTACGTCCGAATTTGCTAAATTGAGCAAACGCACATTAACACAAATGTAGTGTCACGATCTAAGATTGCGAAGCTACGACTCTACGCGCAGCAGTATCAGTATCGCTATTCGGAACCCATCCCCGTGGAACAGCTGGTCGTCCATCTTTGCGATTTCAAGCAAGGTTACACGCAGTTCGGTGGTTTGCGTCCTTTTGGCGTGTCCTTCCTCTTTGCCGGGTACTGTTGCATTTATCTGGTAGAAGATGCAGATACATGATGTTGTCTTATTTTTCATGAATTCATCACTTTAGTGATGCTTTGTTGAAAAAATGTAGTACAGTTTATCAGCGAATATGTATCTGTGGTAGTCTGAGAGCGATGTCAGACAGTTGCGTGGTAAGTTTTATCTGGATCTCGTGGAAGATTATATCATTAAGGCTAAATCTGCTGTAAAACCTACTTCATCTTCCTCTCTTGTTTTAGGTACGATAAGCACTATGGTTTCCAGCTGTATCAAAGCGACCCGGCAGGGAAGTATGATGGATGGCGTGCACATTCTATTGGAGGGTGGGATAATCCGATGACAAACTCCACCTTGAAGCAGGATTGGATTAAGGCTTGTTTGAGATGAGTCACTAGGTGTAAAAATACTCACGAGTAGTTGTTCGACAGGATGGTAGCGCAAGCCTCCAAAACCAAGAAATCTAAACTGTTTCACCATACAGATTGAAGTACTTACAAGTTTTGCGACTTTTCTTTGATCAAGTTCATTTCCATCGATAAAGTTTTTTTGTTTTCTATGAAGATGAGGCCTTTAATGCAAGTGACGGCATGTCTTCGGACGCAGTAAAAGCCTTGGTTGGAAAGGTGATGATCAAGAACGGCGACACCACTACCCCGGACCCAGAGAAGTTCGAAATGGCTGTGATCTCGCGTGTGAGCAAGGATATCGTCAAGTACAAGCGTATCGGCGCAAAGGAGGTCGAAAAAATACTGTCAGAAGCACGCGCTAAAGAAGACGCAGCGGAGCAAGGAGGTGCCGCATCAACATCCTAGTTACAACACTTCAACAACTAACTACTTCACGGTTCCGTATCGATGCCAACACGAGTATGGATGATGCTTAGATGACGCCCCAACAATCATCTAGCGCTGGTTTCTTGCTCGACTGTACGAGAGGTCTTTGCGTTGCTACGGAGGAGGGTAGTAACAAGGGTTGCTTTGAAGTTCGTGTCTGATCAAGGAAGTCGCGAGTGTGTGTGCATCGCTTATCTTCTACTTGCCGTGAATTCTGGGAGATCCGGTCTCACTAGAGGTGGTGGGGGTTAGAGGTCCGATCTCAGCAGTGCGCCAGTGTACGTAAGTCGTTAGAAGATTGTGTCGTCGGAATGCGGTTTCGGTGAATGCTCAAAGTTGGCAGGCTTTTTTTCATCATAGATCAAGAACGACTGCGTAGAGGTAGTAATAGGATCACACGACAGGTACTACAGATCATTATTTCATTCCCGAGTTTTTCAACCCTTATCTCCCCGACCCAGATTAGACTGTCGTACCTCTCCTGACGAAATTGCAAGTCTAACGACGATCCATATTTTCAATCAGTGTGGAAAAATACATGCTCGATATCTCAGGCACATTTGAATGCGCGGTTGAGATCCCAATATCCCTACGTACCCACGATATAGCACTTCACTTCGGCCCGCAAAGAGTAGTCGCGCTCGTTTGCGATGACGACACCAGGTGCGAAAATGCATGCTAATTGTTCAAACAAAGGCGACCACAAGTATGTTCCGTTCGTCTAGCTCAGGATCTTGAAGTGAAAATGGTCTCTGAAGGGATGAGTTTTTGGTTCGCTGTTTGTGCATGTGGTTCGTGGGGAAAAACGTTGTACTACCGATCTATAATTTTGAATAACGAGGACTACACCGCTAATTAGTGATGAACTCCAAAGTTGTAGCTTCTCGTGTGAGCGACTCGCAGAGGTGTAGATGATTGCCAATCTGAAAGGTGGATGTTGACTGAAAAAATGAAGCACTACTGTACTTGAAATAGAGACACGGTTTCAGAATGAAGGTGCATAACACGACGACAAGTGTTGCTGATGAGAGACGCAGCATTCACGCGTTGTTCCCGCCCTGGAGTCTGCGGGAGAATGCAGATCTATTTGACAAAGCCTTCCCTCCTTCAGCTGAGACAGCACAGGAGCAGAAGGCAGATATGGCCTCACAAGTGCTGCCATCTGACGCTGTGTGGGACTACACTGTGGGCAAGTATTTTCTCGGCTCACGATGGAACGAGCATCCACGTAGTCCCGCCTGGTACCGAAGTCCCTGGATCTCCGCAACCGCACGAGAGGCATGGGCGAAGTAGTACGAAGACCTTTGTTAGTAGAGATATTTCGAAGATGAAAGCTAAGTAGATAAGCTTTCCCATCCTTACAAGTACCTCCTTCTCATGGTGCTGATAATACCAAGACTTATCATCTCTCACTCAGCATGGAAATGGCAGGCAAGATTTTTTGATTGATGCTCTTTTACTATGTATAGATTCTATCGCGCGCCGTACTCATTTCGCGAGAAACGGATCGTTCCGATCCATGAAAGCGAGACTACCGCAGATGCTGCGCCGCCGAACGAGGCAACGACTGGCATCGCCGTGAGCGACGAAGTGCGGCGGTGCGAGACGGAGTTCAACCAGGTTTTTGCACGCTATGCCGATGAATATTACGGCAAGGGGACTGCGGTTACCAGCGTCTTTCTGTGGGAGCCCTTGTTGGAATGCAGGATTCAGAGGCCGCGTCCCGGAGCCGGTGGATCAGGCTCTCTAGAGCCCGATGAGGAAGTCGTCTTGGAAGGGGTGCTTCTGCTGAAAAAAGAGTTGGTGGGCGACTCGTCTGTAGGAGCAGATAAAGTAAGCGGGGGTGGCAAAACTCTCGACCATCAAAAGCTCGGTAGTGCAACCTCTGGAGGTGCTAGAAGCGAGATCAAGGCGAGTTCTCGAACGTGGGATTCTGTTCACCGTATTCGGCTGAGCGAGATCTGCGCTAAGAGGTTGTTGCACACACATGCTGCTGCCGTCACCACGTCGGTGTTTCGTTCCTGGTCGACCATTATTTTCGTACACAACGAGCTGCCTTCCTCGTCCTCCGCGGAGTCCTCGGAACAAAAAGCCGACGCGACATCGGACGCGATATCTGATGAAAGTGGTAGGATGAAAGACGCTGCGCAAGAGATCGCAAACCGCGAGGGGCTCGATTCGCGGCGGACGCGAATCATCGGACCAGCGAAGACGTGCACGGGGTATAGTATTGACCGACACAAGGAGGAACGACATCGCTTTGGAATGAGTGGGAATGAGTCGGTTGTTCTCTTGCGGCAAGTGGTTTTCGGGCGCATGATCGAAGCAGCTGAAAACGAGATGCGGGAACACTTGGAATTTTCGCTTATGCATCGCCACGGCGACTACTTCACGGACGAATTCGGTCCCAACGGCGGGGGGAATCCCCGCGATGAAACGAAAAACAATGTCTATGCAGAGTTGCAGGCGCATTTGGCCAAACGCGCGCCGAGACCCGAAGAAGCAGCGTAAATGTAACAATACTGTGAAAATGATGTGCAGTTTCATGAAGATAAAGATTCTTCTTATTGTAGTAAGTACAAAGAAATTTCATCATGCACGCTTGTGTCTTGATGATTAAGAAGGAGAATGTTTTGTTCGGAATGAAGAAACTTTCTGGCTTGAGGTGAAACGTTGCTAGTCAGTCTTAGTCTGTTGAACCTGAATATCCATTCTAGTCTGAAATGGTGTAACCCCAACACGCGGGAAAAACTAAAGTGATTTCATGTCAGAGGTCCCTCACCCTGAAGGACATGATCGGTGCGTTTTGAGTTTCGATGCACGAGTCTAAAAATCTGATTTAGGAGCAGCCATTGGAAACATCGGTTTGAGTCGAATCTGGGCTGTCCTGGCTTTTTCATCGGTACAAGCTACATCCACCTCTTCACGTAAGCCACCTACCCGCACCAGGCAACACCCCCGTGATGTAGCCCAAGCATAGTTGCAAGTAGAGCTTGTCGATTCTCATTATTTCGGATCATTCTGATTGTGATTTACAGGCAAAACCAAATGATTGACTGCCATGTCTTTCATGCAGTTGTTGGTAACAATTAGAAGTTATCACCATGATCAATTATACCTTGCAAGGTTAGGCAAGTATTAGGTGGAGATCCAGTGAAGTATATGTTGTAGACTTAGACTTTGGCGTGGCTTGCTTCTGATGAACCCTTGCTGAACAAGAGTCTGTTGAAGAACTAAGAGCACGCACGTCAGTGTGTGATCTACGCTCGCGTCAGCACTCAAGACGGTCAGACATCTAAAGCCACGAAGCTGGACCACGTGCCGCAATTCCGATAAATCAGCAAGGATCTAGCACACGTGCTTCATCACACTTCAGGTTTTGGCATGGTGGCACGGCCGATCTTCTAAGCCCGAAAACTCCCACACCGAAAATAATTCAAGTTGTAGAAGAAAGATAACTGCGTGCTTCCATCTGACCTTGGACGAAACGTGCTGCCTTCAGGATGGCGTGCGTGGTAGGGCCTACGGATGCTGGAATGGCAAAATTCGACAAGGGCAACATCACCAAAGTTTTTCGAGTTTGGGCAGAAAGGATAGACAAGGAGCTTCAGGTATGCTTTGGGTTTTCATTTTCAAGCAGGTCTTACAGGTTAAACTTTCAGTATCATACATATGGTTACTTAAAGTACGACTAACTTTTTTTGTGTGGTAGGTCATTTTCTCAGCGGCAAGTGCTGCTTCGATGTCGTGTAGGAAGGTGTTTATCTTTGTCTAGTTTACTTTCCTGGGGTCAAAAGTATGGAGTGGGTGGTCGACTTTCCGTCTCTTCTAGAATCCATCCTCGTGTATTCTTTGTGCATGTAAGACCGCGGTTCATTTTCCATAACCCTATCTCCAGATAAATGTGTCAAACGACCGGAGCTTTCGAGTAGGGCACACCCCGGCGCTTCTTCCCGAGAAGGTGAATAGATGGGATCCGCGGGAACAGAAAGTCGAAGACCCACATGAACTAACACAATCGGTGAAGTTCAAATATCCGCCAATAGAGGAAATCACTGACATCAAATATGTCGGTACAGCCTTTTTTTCTTGGAAGATCGAGATGTATTGTGGTTTATGCCATAAGCAATGTCTTGTGGAGCCTACCAATGTACACAACTACGATACCTTATAGGGCCTATAATATACATACTGTACAAACCCATTTTCTCCAGGTGTCCAAGCCTTTCCGCGGGAGCGGTTTGGTATTCCGCAGTCCGAGTATCATAAAATAGGATGGATGTCTACACCCGCTGAGTTCCGGACAAAATTCGCTAAAGACCTCCTCGAAGATAAAACCAAGACGTGCACAACCTTCAATACGGGGCAAGTCAACATGCGCGATAAATTCTGGAGAAATCAGCAAGTATGAGACTCTGTCCTTGTCATGATTCTACTGTGTGCTAGGAAATGTTTAGCAGCGTCGATCTTGCTGTTTGCATTCGGGACGGCATCTCTATCTCTCAAAAACATGTGATAATACTTAGAATATACGACTCATATATTCATTTCCCTTACCCTTAGTATGATGGTTACCTACACTTGTTCAGTCTCTTTCAATATTGAGAGGACAACGATGAATTTCAAATTCTCTCTCAAAATGACACTTTTTGCGCTTCTTTCAGCGGCCCAAAGTGAAGAACCCGATGGCGCACCACACGGGTTATATCACGGGCCTAGCGGACAATCCGTATGAGAGGACGATTAAACATCCAGAGAAGCTGCCACCAACCGATCCTCTGACACAGGAGTGGAAAAAAATGAAGAGAAAAGATAGACGAGACCGGAAAAAAATGGAGCGGGAGATGATCGAAAGCGGGGAGCTTACTGCAACGACCTTAGTTAAGATGACTCCAGTGCTGCCTCTAATCAACGGATTACATTTCTTGTTCTATTTTCTGCGTAGAAACCGGATCATTTGAAATACTGTGTAAGTACAGTAGAAGGAAGACGAAGGAAACGTCGCCGCACTGGTACTGCTCGTCAGACGCTCTCTTTAGTACTGTCCAGTTGGAGGTGGACTGTCCTTTGGTATATCTTAGTACTAGATAGGATCCTATTACTCCTGGGTAGTCTAATAAAGTCGTCTGTAACAACATTCTCCGCCTAAGATGAAAATCTAACTCTAAATTAGGTGGTGGTGCAACGAGTAGCTCAAGTATGCGGGGAACAACGAAAGTACCAAAGAAGGTAACAGATCCTATGGCAGAAATTCTAGCAGAATGCTCCGACGTGGATGCAGTGGTACCACTACCACTCCTGCAACATCAATGCTTCAGAATGAATAGTGCTAATGCTACTTCGTATTTGTTTCCTTTGAGCACTCACCAAAAAATTCGATCGTTCAGTTATCAGAAATTTGTACCCCACTTGGGACTTGGGCTAGCCTACTCTTGCCTAATGATAGTTTCCCTAGCTTGTTCCACCGAGGATGTCTAAACAAGATTTCCTATCCCTCAGACTTTCTCATTCTCAATAAACACAGTCGGTCGCGAAAACGCCAAGTATATTATCTTCGAATGCCACTGATATGGTTAAAGCGAGGTCAATGGAGGAGCTCTTTCGGAGGAAAACCGAAAATTGCCAAAGAATGTTGGTATCTTCTGTTTTATCTTCATCTTGTAAGACTTCTTACTCTTTTGTTCCTAGGACATGGACGTAGGATATGTTGAAGTGAGTGGGTAATATATATGTCGAAAACATTTTGGATGAAACTCAAACTTCTTCTTTTACTGAAGAAAAATTTTTGGCTACAATTGAAGTAGAGTACTTAAACCCGTCTCCGGACTGGCATCACGACGCCATCGACTTCAGCTGAATCGCTATGCGCAATGGCAGCGACTCGGGCAGAGTAAAAGGTGGTTTCATCCGCAGAAAAATAGCGACGTTACAACGTTCGCGGATGAGTACACAAAGCAGATGCTCACGGGGCCACACATGAAGACGCAGCCTCTAGTCAGTCGATAGCTGCATGACGTCTTCGTGGAGCGTCTCTTGTATTGCGCCTCTTCCGGTGCGCCTCTACTTTCACGGTGGTGGTCGCCGGTGTCCATCAGAGGTTCGTGAAAATGTCGCGTGCATGCTTACAAATAGAAGTATTAGTCGATGTCGTACCAAACTTAACACCGATTGTTATTGTCATGCCCATCATGTTAAAATTGAAAATACAATCCGATTCCACTCATAGAATCATGCACGATGGATTGTGTTTAGATGTGAGAACGCATGTCATGCGAACATCATTTTCTATATTTGAGTAATTTGTCATCATCGGTAATATGTGGATTTTGCTCCGAAAAATTAACCCCTTGCGCATGTCGTGCAAGGAAGGTCTGCACTGAGAAAATACACATATTATTGGATTCAGAGCTCCAATTGTCATTACAAGTTGATGAAAGATGAACCCAAGAACATGATGCAGTGGATGTAGAAAAGGCAAAATTATTCAGTGGGCCTTTAGACGCTATTTCCTTGTCTGTTTAAATGATACCTGAATGCCGTAGAAAGGCTTCTATCGGATTTGTAGAATGACGAAAGGATTTTTGAAGAAGTCTCAGTCTAAGCTGAGCTCTAAAAGCAAGTTGAAGGGGCTCTTTGAATAATGAATGCACAATGGAGGAGGATGGACACGAGGACAAAAAGCATTTTTGTAGGGGAAAGGAGAGATGGAACCGAAAAACCTTTGGCTAATGTGTGTTCACCGGTCTTGCGGACGTACGAAAATTTTTGAAAGCCTAGAAGGCCAGGTATCAACAGGATTTCAATTTGTTCTAAATCGCAGGATTGTTGTTTGTTTATGGAAGATGGTGTATGGTGGTCGTCGTTTTACTCGAGCTAAACGGAAGGTCTATTCATACCGATGAGGATTTCGTAGCAAGTAGACGAAAGTTGATATTCACTGTTTATGTATTAAGATTTCATCTCTAATAATCGTTGAGAAAGGTCTTGCAAAGGAGCGAGGGGGAAGCCGCAAGCAGCAAAAGGGCAAAGCGTTCCAGAAGAGGAAATTTGGAGGTGGTTACACATCACTCGGCAATGCCAGGAACTTTGAAGACGAGCTCCTTTAAAGGTTGTTTCTGCTGATCTCTTTGATGTCCGGCAAGGCTTTCTTGTCCTTCATTAAACGCCGTCGAGTCCCTTCACAATTATCTCGCCTTCGACTATACTACCTAGCCCAGTAACGACATCGATTGCTCCTTGAGGAGAAAGGACACCTTTCCATCGCCAAGGCGTGTGCAATGTCTCCGAAGCCCAGATGTTCTGGAGCCATGGCCCCTGCAAAAAATCGCTTGCCAGATAGCTCTCAGCCTTTGTTTACCCTAATGACTTGAAACGTCAGCTCTTTGCTTCGAGGAGGCATGTGCTTATACTACCTATTGAATTTAGCGAATCTTGCTTCCGCTGGCTCAATTCCTATGTTGTTCAGTCAGTCATGTGAATTAATCTTGTACAAATCTTCATTTTAACTATTCGCGTCAAAAATCAGCTGTACCAGGAACCCATACACAGAATTAGCAGCTCTATGAGGTGGTGAGAACTGATGACTGCTGGGGTGAAAGCTGATGACTGCATTCTACTTCGAAGAATCCCCATAACATGTTGTACCACGACGTTTGATGCCAAATTTTAAGGCAAATAATATGCATAGAATCTAGCCTTACCCACGAAAACTACTACGGCTATCCAAAAACTTCACTGATGCAACAATTATGGTGCTACAACATATTTACAGATACATTTTTTTAAAAGCAGGTGGCGTGATGTACGACAAAGGCGCCGAATGGTGATAAGAAAAGGTTGTAATTTCCTTTTGATAATGAGACAGCTTTTTCGCGTAGTCGCTACAGAATTTTGTTTTGAAGAACTTTGAATGCTATTTCTACTGATTATCTCATTATAATATATACAAGAAACCGGGGTCGCCCCTTGGGCGACCCCTCCTTGATAACAGCACCGTCACAGGCACAGAGTAGAAACATAAGAGAAAGCAAAAAAAAAGCGACTGAGGCACGGAGCGCCCGCCCCTTGGCCTTGGCGGCTGCCGTCGAGATGATGGAGAAGAACAAAGACCGAAGCAACCCACGGAACCCAGAACCCTTGCGCGCGGAATCAATTAGGCACGCCACGCCAATGAGACAGGCCCGGCGG